TCAGGTGGAATACAAGTCTTTTCCTACACAGATATTCACAGCCTTCTAGGCCATGCTGTGGAAGTTCAGAAGCCCGTGACAGCCTGCCTTGCTGCCCAGGCTCAGAAATTCAAACATTTGAACATTAAAGCTCTCACTATTCGAGTACACCCCAGTCAGGATGGTGGTCTGGTCTGACTGCCCTTCCCAACACCCAGCTCCTACTAAAGAGCCAAGGACCAGCACCAAGTTTCCAATTTCATTTCAGCTTCAAGCTAATTCCATAGGCAACAGGACAATCTTCCACGCTAAGCTCAGCCTTCACTGCTAGCACTAGTTCTCATGCCTCACAAGACACATAACAGCTACAAATCCCAAGGTTGAGCCACTACCGTGCTATTCCCACACTGGAGAATAACACCATGAAGTACTGATGTCACAGAAGTCAGTGAAAGCATCAGCCAGACCTGCCATCTCAGATGAAAGCCAAGAGCACAGCCAGCTTCATTTTCATCGGGGCTACTCAGTCCCTCACAGTGACCACTGAAAAGGAGTGAGACGTGCTAAGCCAGGCAGAGGGCAGTTTGCTTTGCTCTCTCTAAGGCTTGGTCTCAGATGTTCTGTCCACTTTCAGCTAACACCGACCTGCAAAGTTGTATTTTAAAGTCTTTGTAATTCAAAATTTTTGGTTTCACATCTCTAAAAAGGGGGTTTAATACTTAAGATCTAGCAGCGTGTGTTACCAAAGACGCTATTTAAGCTCTGGGTTCATTACTGGCAGGACTGGTAGCTCGTATGACAGCCTGCCCCCAAGCCATCCCATCAATGCTGCTTTACAGCCTTTCACTCCAGTCCTACTCAAGAGGAAAAACAACAAACTAATTTCTCTAAAAACTAAGTACCACTAGAATCTGGTTCAAAGGATTAACTTTTGAAAAAGTGGTAATACTGCAGTACAGCAGCTCGGACAAGTTTAGTTGCAGTATCGCAAAGGCTATCCAGCTTCAAGTCTTCTGGAAGCCAGCTCTCCCAAGGAAGGGCGAGAATTACCTATTTAGGCAGTTCTTGTTCAGAGTTTTGGCTGGGTTGGTTTTTTTTTCCCCTTATCAGAGTTTGGAAAGGTTCCACCAGCTGCATGATAACTCTTACAGTGTCATTAGTTGCCTCACTCATAGATATATACATGCACACAAGTTTCAGAAAAACTGCAAAGGGGATCATACCAAGCTTACTTTGTTGCAACTACTTTCAGCAGCAGCACCCACTACGACCCAAGCCTCCCAAGCATTCAGTTACCCCCAGTAAAACCTACAGAGGGTATTTCCAGTTAACAGTTTAACTTGCAGTCATGTTCACATGTTGAACCATTTCTGCACTTCAGATTAAGATTCTCAGAGGTGTTTCCAACAATGAACCGAAGCAAGGTATCAGCAACTGTATTTTAAGTTAAACCTGTAAAAACAGTGCTTTCTGATGGACATTGATGGCTCCAGAAAAAGCTTCTCTGTTTCAAATAACATTCCAGAGAGCCTTCTTTGCTCTTCCCTGCCAGCTTGCTCCGCACAGTGTGGAGCTGCAGTTCCACGCTTCACTTCTAGGCACACACTGTACTTGCTGAAGGTGAAGAGAGCACCTCTAGCTCAGAGCAACACAATCCACACCCTCCACAACAGGCTAAAGGCGAGAGACACTCCTGCCTTCAACAGGATAATGCCACACTTGTGGCATACTCTTGTGGCAAGAGGGAGGCTGTTCCTCCCTCTTGGTCTGATCAGGAGAGACCGATTTGAGGCTTTCCTCATGGTATAAAACATTATCTCCCAGTATCACTATAGCCAGGTGGTGTTCACCTCCTCTAGACCACTACGAGAAACCATTAAGCAGAGAAGGGGAAGAACAGGTCTGGGTTACTCATGCTCTAGATGATGATTAGATTTCTATGATACCAAGGACCTTTTGCCAGTCTTTCTCGACTGTGCACCCCAAAGCAAGGGGGCAAAGCCTTGGCCATTCCTGTGAGCCAACTGCAACACGGGCAGTTGGCACCAAGCGATGCTGTAGTTTGTGCCTGCTGCTTGCGGGATGGGCAAAGGCCACAAGAAGCCAACACACATGCAAATCAGTAGCCCAGCCTGGCTACAGCAGTCCAGCACCGGGCAGGAGTAACACGTCCAAGGCAGAAGCTGTAATGCAGCAGGAGCTGAGGGCTTCAGTTCTTTACCAGACATAGCAAGCCTCAGCAAGGAGTCAATATTCCAAATTCCTGAATTAGTACTAACTTCAATTCTAGGTCTTTCATGGAAGCCACTTGCATGAAAGTGGCCTGAAATTTTGAACCACCACAAAGATAAAGAAATAGTTATCTTTTAAACAAACCAGTTAATTCACACTAATTACAACATGAATTGAGCACTAGGCATGTTCCTGAAGTTCTCCTGACAGCACTAGGAACTTAGGGCACCAATGTCTAGAAAAGGGATAGAATTACAAATCATGAATCTCGTTTCTCAGCATTAAAACTCATATGGGATCTAAGAGGCAGGTCTTTACAGCACCAGCTACTCAAGACAGAGACAAATGCAGAACAGTTGCACTTTATGGCTAAGACAATTTACTATTTAGAAGCTTATTTTGAGAGAAACACAATTTATGTCACTTTGATTCAGCCAATGAAAGCAACTATGAAACAAATGTGAATTCAAGTATCTGGACTTTTCATTCTAGCTTACAATACTTGATATGCAGTAATGCACTATTTGGAGGCACACGCTCTGGTAGACACCAGCAATATCAAGCAGAGAAGACCTATCTCATTCTATCTAGTTCCATACCCCATAGGAAGCTACCAGAGCAGGAACAGCCATCACATCCCTTTGACATCTGCAGGTAAAAAGATCTCAAACTTCATGCTAAATGCTAATCCAGTTCCTCCGATTCACTCCGTGGTGACAATCCTTCTCCCTTGGTACAGCAGACTTGTCAGGCTTCCACCTGTTACTCCAGCAGCCTAACAATCTCCTTTTCCTTAAGTTACTCCTTTTTTACAGGTTAATTGCCAGCAAAGCACTGCATAGCCATGTTCTTCCTACTCTTGAAAGGCTGACACCATACTTCACCATCCTGGGTTGCACGAGATCTGAGATAAAATTGAGTATCCTCTTATCTTCAGAAGCTTGGGCATGTTCCATTCCCATCTCCAGCTGCGGACAGCCATTTTTGCAAAAAAAATAATATATGAGAGCCTATCAAGCTATTCCACCTACTTGGAATCACTTGTGGCTTGCACAGCAGGCTAACATTATACTTCAACAATTTCTAGTGCATTAACAGTACCCTAGATAGGTACATGTAACTGCCAGCATGAGAACTAAGCTTGGTTCTCAATATATCACTCCTATAATTTGAAGTAAGGCAAGAGCAACTTTTAGTGCAATCACTCAGAAAACCACCACTGCTCAATGCTATTGTTTCTGCACTTTCCGCCCTCCCCAAACTCCAAAGCAGGCACATCGAAACACTTGTCACTGAAGCGTTTTAGAATCCCACGCCCCACCTTCACTTATCGGCAGAAAGTTTCAACACTTACGGTTCACAGTATTTCCTGTTCTATGAAAGAAAGCACTTTTTCTATCTTCCAAAACCACTGTGATCAGTAACAGCTGAAGCAATGCAGATATCAGATGTCAGCCTCCTCCCCTGAAGTTATCTACAAGTGCTCCTTCGGAAAAACTCCTTCACCTCCACCAAAAAAAGTTAATTTTCAAGTACTACAGCACATGCTTTAGTAACAGATGAAAGGCACTCTGGCTCTTTATCTAAAGTTCAGTGCATGACAGGTACAAGAAGAAACCTGCCATAGTTTCTTCAGTCACACCATCATCCCTTCCCATTGGGCTCAGCAAAGGCATTTAAACATGCCTTTGTATTCACCATAACGCCAAGCTGTACCTCTACACTCAGCACTACCTGACATCATTCACTAGACAAGTTCTTTTCTTCTAAGATAAAGCCTCATTGCACATGGTTACACGGGCTCAGCACAGAAGAAAACAAACAGGTGAAGCACACGGGAGAAGAGTGCCTATCAGATGTGAGCTCTGCAGGAGTTACAAGCTCATACCCAGCCTTCCCCACAGCGTTCAGGAAAAGGAAAGCAAGCAGTTTGTTGTACAGAGATGTGAAGGAACACAAGGTCTGATCTGCTGATAAAACAACATTCCCTAAAAGAATGAACAGGAGAGGGAACAACTCTAATGCAAAAAAACTTTAAACCCCATGTTGAGGGGCACAGAACGGTGCAAGCCACTACTTACCAGAGAAAGGCAATCTCTGCTCAGATCCCAGCAATAGGACTGTTTAGAGGAACATGGGGAAGAGGCAGATTTAATGCCCCCAAACAACTTAAGTAAAAAGCCCTGACAAGCCCCACTTCTCGAGGGAGCGGGAATTCTGCCCCCCTGCAGAAGGGCAGCTGAACACCAGCGAGGCCGCGGCCAAAGCCGCAGGAGGAGCCGAGCAGGGCACGGCGGCTGCCAGCGGCGTGAGGCGATCCCCCAGCTGGGCTGGACGGGCAGCAGGGAGCCAGCCACCCCCGCGGCACGTCCGCCCGGCGCCAGGCGAGGCCCACAGGCCACGGACCCCGGCCGGGCCGGGAGCCCACCTTCCCCCGGCCGCTCCGCCCGAGCCCCGCGGCGAAGGGACGCGCCGTCTCCCCGCGGCAGGCCCACGGCATCCCCCGCCCGCCCCGGGGAGGAGGCCGCGGTGCCGGGCGAGCAGCCTCAGCCCGCCGCCGCCGCCTCCTCCTCCTCCTCCCGCACCGAGCAGAAGGAGCCGGTGCCGGGTGGCCGCCGCTGCCCCTCTCCCCGCGGGCCGAGGGGGCGTGCCGGGCCGCGGCCCCGCAGCTGACAGCCCGGCCGCCCTCCTCCAGGCCCCGGCCCGGCAGGCCGGCCCAACCTCCCAACCCCCCCCCGCCTCGCAAGACGCCGAGAGCCAGCCCGGCCGCCCCCCCGCCGGCTCCTTACCGCGGGGCAGGGCATGGCGCGGAGCCCCCACACCCCCTCCCGGGGCGCGGCCTCCTGCCTGGGGCCGGGGTCGCTGGGCTCCGGGGCTGCCTCCGCCGCCTCTCACAGCCACAACAACATGGCGGCCGCACGGGACGCGGGCACGGCGGGGCCGGGCGCGCTCCCGACGCCTCCTCCTCCTCCTCACCCCCTCCCCCCCGAGAGGCGGCGCGGGGCCGGGCGCGCGCCGTTCCCGCCCTCCGCGGCCCAGCCGCCGCCCTGAGGGGGAGCCGGACCTCCCCCCCCCCCCAGTCTCCTCAGGGCTCCCCGTCCCTTCAGGAGCCGGAGGAGCTGCCATCCCCGCAGCTGCCCCCCCTCAGCCGGTGAAGCTGGCTCGCCCCTTCCTCCTTTTATAACCCCGCGGGGGAAGGGTGCTTCACCCCCCGCAGCCGGCTGAGCTCCGCCCGGCCCCCGCCAGCCCAGAGCCCCGCTGAGGCGGGAGGTGCCATTCGGTGGGCTCGGGAGAAGGGGTTTGCGGCCCCCTGGGCCAGGCTGTGAGGCAGGTGATGGGTGGGCTGGAGTTGGGTGCTGAGGGGAGCCGCGGAGCTCTGCCCCACAGCGTCCTCCAGCAGCGGGGCCCGCACTCCTGGGATCCCCCTTAGGAATCCTCCAAAGGCCCTGCGTCCCTTGGAGAAACACCCCGTCTGATTATAAAAGCGGCTCTTGCGCTCAAGGCCGCCTGCCCCGATGCTTTCCGCCTTTGCTTTTGTGACATTTCAGCTCAGCTGCAGGAACATGTGTGGCCCCGTGCCATGGGGAGACGCACCGTCCAAGCCACCCCGAGCAGCCCCGCAGCTCCTAGAGCATGAGGTAATGGAGAGCAGGGAGCCAACGCAAGGCAGGAGAGCCAAGAAACACATGGAAATTGAGAGACGAGTGATAAAGCAAAAGGGATATGAGCGTTAAGCTCATGGGGGACAAGAGAAAATGGCAGCAGGGTCAGAGGTAGCGGGGTATGGCTGGCAGGAAGCGTTGCAGCTTCCAAAACGAAGCTTTAACTAAGCCTTGTGCAATGGAGTTCCTTTTCAGCAGCAAATTTATATCTGGGTTTTGTTGCAAATGTGGATGGATCATTAATGCTTTCTTTTTATACGTATCTTTAATTTACAATGTTGTATGTAGGTCAGGTTGTACTTTTGAGAGATATTTCCACCTGCTCCTCATGTTTGCCTTCATCTGAAATGAAATGCTTGCAAGTAACGACAAAATGCACTCCTAAATTATCCACAGGACTCTCCCTCTGAGTCCAAGGCTAGTCATTGGAACAGATGGACTTCAGTCTGTCATTAAGTCATGTTTAAACTAGAAGTAGCATTAATGTTCAGAGAGAACAATACAAAACACAGGATCCCATGTCTTTAAACTCCGATATAAGCCACGCAGTGAGTTGTTTTCTAGTTTCGCTCCCTTGGTCAGGGACAGTAAACATTTGAAAGGAAGTTAATCACCCCCTCTAAAGGGAATTTTTCCAACAACAAGCCATCATCTGAATGCAAATGTGATCTGAATGTCAATATGTACCTTCAGAGGAACTCTGGAAGAAATACAGGTAACTGAAGGGAAAAACAGGATTCCTGACCTGTTTATACCCAAAAGCAATGAAAAAAATGTTCAGCCGGTCTAGCTGTATCTGAAAAGGGTATGTGCTGACAACGTTAGGAAGCAGGATATGAATTTTGAAAGTCGCTTGTTAAATAGGTGCCTTGCAGTGTGCCTGGACGGGGATCAAATGTGACCTACTTCAGCAGGCTGAATCCTGGGCACCCGGGGCTTTTGTAGAGCAGAACCTGCTGGTTGCTCCTTCTTATTTTTAAAGAGGGGGAAGAAGCTGGAGTGCCATCCTTGTGACAGGAAAAGCTGTGCACTTCCACCTGCTTATTTCGGTGACACAAATTATCATCTTTGGCATTATCTTTACTGATATGGTTAAATACATCACCGGAGACTTTCCATGTCTTGTGTTCTAATCTTTTTTTAATAAAAATTAGGTATAGCCCCATATTAAATGACTTTGCCTCTATTTTCTATGATGACTGGGGCAAAGGATAATAGCTAATGAGAATTATTTTATGGAAATGGAAATTACTGTACCAAAGGGAGAGCAAGGCCTGTGAGACATGCAGCTTGGGGAACGAGATGTTCCCAAGCCCATGGTTCTGACAGACCTGGAATGTATCCTCACTCATCCAGTCCAAAGTTTTTAATTTGTCGGGCTGAGGGTGGTAATAAATTACTGAGGAACTGCCAAAGCACTATCTGGTTTTAAGCAGGAGGAAGAAAAGCAATCCGGCCACTTAGACACCTGCTAGTCTGACCCCAACAACATTAAAAGCTTAGAAAAAATGTAAAGGAGAAAGTAGTTGGGGACAGAAAAGTGGAAAATAAAGTAAAATGCGATGTAGCTTGACTAAAGATAGATTGCATTTAACTAAGAGTATACCTTTGGTAGTTTTTTTCTAGGCAATGGGTATACAATAGATTTAAAAGACTATATATAATATAATTAATGTGATTATGAATATATAATTTAGATTATCTGATAGATATATTAATATATAATTAATAAGATACAATGCCACGTGGCAAATATATAGTTTATTGGGGGGCTATTGGTAGGTAAGAAGCTTGCTACAGACAGATGCCAATAGTTGGGCTGGAAAGGTGTGAGGGTGGAGCTGAGCTCCTTAGGAACAGACCTGGAGACCATCAGTGGGTTCAAAAATTGATTCAATGAATGAATGGAGGGCAGATCCATGAAAAAATAGCCACATGGAAAAGGCAGGGAAGTCACCTCGAACATACACCACGGGGAGTGCAAGGGAGGAGGGAGCAGAGAGTGGCTGGGCTCCAGTGCTCTCCCTGAACAGCATCACTGACTGCCCCTCTCGGGGACAGAGCGCTGGGCTATGGGGACCACCAGGCTGGCCCAGCGAGGCATGTCTTATGTTCTTTTGATCTTGCATAATCTTTTTCAGTCAGGCCTTGGAAGAAAAGTTAGGAGTGAGGTGATGGTGTTTGCTGATGGCACAAAGTTGGGAGGCACCAGCACAACGGAGGGAATATCTGTATCTGGAAGAGTTGGATGAGCTTGAGTGCTGGCACGCTGGAAATGGGATGAAATTTAATAGTGGAAAGTACAAGGTCATGCACTTGGGAATTGCTAACAAGAATCTCTGCTGCAAGCTGGGAGCTCATCAACTGGAAATGACAGAAGAAGAGAAAAATCTGGGTGTATTTGTTGATCTCAAGATGACAAAACTCCCAATATGAAGCAGCTCTGACGAAAAGCATAGATCAACTGAGATATTTTCTGGAGAAGGGGAAAATGTTACCACCATTATACAAAGCTCTGCTGCAACCTTCTCTGGAATTATGCACACAGCTCTGGTCACTTTTAATCAAGGGACACAAACTTGAAATGTGACTGGAGAATAATTACAGGGTAATCCTGATTTTTTTTTCTCACGTAAGGATCTTGAAATAATTTGTTTAGTGAAAAAAACCTGAATGCTGAGAAGGGTTGTTCTCTGTGAAACTTCAGGGAGTAAACACAGAAGTAAACACACCTCCCTTAAGAGCAAGGGTGATGTTAGTGTAAGAGCAAACAAGTATCCGATGGCCATGAAAAGTCTGGCCTGAAACATGAGAACACCGGAGCTTCAAAAGGCACAAGCCCTGAGGCTCTGGGTCATCCTTCCCAGAGCTGCCTTACCCTCATGCAGCTCCCACCAACAGCCGAGGACTGACCCTAAAGACCCAAAAAGTCCTCTCTGAACCTCTTTTGCTGATTGAGACACAGACACTGAGTTACTACTTGGCTTCTTGTGATGAGAAGAGGGATACCTGAAGTGGAAAGACATTCTCTGGGCTGCAGTCACAGCCCAAATGCCATCTGAGTTATTGGCTTTATTCAGTAAGGCTGCATTTAAAATCCGCTTGTGGTGGTGGTGGAGGCTGATGGCATCCAGTTCTGGATCATCCCTGCCCAGTCCCTCAGATCACTGCCCCTCAGAGCCCAGCTCTTGTGCCCACCCTCTACGGGAGCTGCAATCCTTGAGCCATCTGTGCCTGGCACGGCAAGAAATGGCAAAACCCAACGTGTGGCAGGGGCTGTCTGGCCCCTGTTACCATCCAGTAACCTTTAATACACTTCACTCCTGTCATCCAAACAGACAGACTCGGGCTCTGCGGGCTGTTTCTGTTATGATGAAAAGCTGATGGTATGGTCAGATATGTCTTAAAAAAACAAAAACAACACACCAAGTCCTGATTCTGTAAGAACGGCCAGATCATGGAGTCACGGAATTGTTGGAGTTGGAAGGGACCTTCTAGAGATCATCCAGTCCAACTCCCCTGCCAAAGCAGGGCTGCCCAGAGCACATCACTCAGGAGCATCCAGGTGGGGCTTGAAGATCTCCAGAGAAGGGGACTCCACACCCTCCCTGGGCAGCCTCTGCCAGGGCTCTGCCACCCTCACCCCAAAGAAGTTCTCCCTCACATTGGAGTGGAACTTCCCATGGTCCAGCTTGTGCCCGTTGCCCCTCGTCCTGTCACTGGAACCACTGAAAAGAGTCCAGCTCCATCCTCCCTCAACCCACCCTTTAGATACTTATAACCATGAATAAGGTCTCCCCTCAGCCTTCTCGTCTCCAGGCTCAAGAGCCCCAGCTCTCTCAGCCTTTCCTCATCAGGGAGATGCTCCAATCCCTCCATCATCTCTGGTGCCCTACGCTGGACTCTCTCCAGCAGTTCCCTGTCTCTCTTGAACTGGGGAGCCCAGAACCAGACGCAGCATTCCAGTTGTGGCCTCCCCAGTGCAGAGCAGAGGGGGAGAATGACCTCCCTCCACCTCCTGGCCACACTCTTCCCTACGCAGCCCAGGATGCCATTGGCCTCTTGGCCACCAGGGCCCATTGCTGGCTCATGGATAGCTTACTGTCCACCAGGACCCCCAGATCCTTCTCCTCAGAAGTGCTTTCCAGCAGTTCCATCCCTAACCTATACTGGTATCTGAATCATGACATGCAGGGTAATTTCCTTACTCAGGACTCCAAACTTCGGCCAGTTTTTTACCCAAAAGCAGCTCTCTCCATCCATCCTCTCCCAGT